TATTTTGTTAGTTTTGGCCCATCTCTCTAATCTGTCAAGATCGTTTTGAATTCTGCTCCTGTCCTCAGGAGTACTAACAAAATGAAGTTCAACAGTGACAAATGCAACAAAGTACATCCAGCTTTGGGAAGCTACGGTCATATCTCCGTCATGTGTGGAATGACCCCTTGAAATAGAAGAAGCATTATTCTATTGAAATCAGCAGAACATCAAATAACCAAGTAATACTTGCTGAAATGCCCTCTTCTGCAGAGCTATGAAAGGCAAATGAGCTCTCTGTCCAGTGTTCACTCTTGGAAAATTAGTTTTCCTTTGCATTTCCTTTTAAAAATGGTGAGTAATTGTGTAATTTCCTGTTGCCATTTTGAGAAACGACAGTAGTGGGAAACAGGAGTATTGGAGGGCACTGGATTCTGTGGATTGTACTTATGGGTAGGATGGAGGTGAGAAGGGTGAGATAAAAATGTGGCAGATAAATAAATAAATACATTCTAGATGTTTTCACTCTATTTGGGGATTTGTTGTTCCCTGATATCCAGAGCATTCAACCAAACACACAAAACCACCAGTGGCAGAGATCTCTCTTGTCTGGAGTGAGACTCAATGCTGCTTCCCATGTTTTTAAGAAGTTGGCAGAGAATGAAAGAAGTGCCACTTGCCTCTTCTCCAGATACTATAAGTACTGCCATGCTCCAGGCTTCTTCTGTCACAAATCGGTTCATGCTGACCAGCTATTCTTGGGACCCAGTTTCAGAATTTCACAAGTGAAGGATGCCATGATCCATCGGCTGATTCCTCGGCTCCTGGCGTGTGTCCTAAAGCTGCACTTGTCTCTGCTTGCTTGTTGGCATTGCATGGCCTTTCTCTTCCCCTGGAACTGTCATCTCCTTTCAGCCTCAGTAAGACAAGGAATGGCTACTGTAGATGCCACGGTTTATTTCAGAAATCCCAAATGGCTGGGCAGGAAAGTCCATTAATGTAGATCCTCTGCACCACTTGACCCTGATGGTCTGTGTTTCGGCTGAAGAGGACGAAAAGCAACCTTCTGAAACTGCAGGCCCTTTGGGATTTTTGGACACCAATGGGCAGGAGACATCTGGCTGGTGAGGGATAATAAGTGGTTTGGTTTGACCCAGCATGTTGGGTTGGAGTGGCCCGCAGCATAGACATGCAGAATTTGGCCTCCCAGCTTGGTTTTCCCAGCCTTCCTTGTTTTCCTGACATTTGTTTCAGTAGTTCTGACCAGAAAGCAAGGACGGTGCCAACCTTCCACATCGTTGGTGCTCTTCATTCTTTTACTACCTCTCTATGCTCATCACTGAAAAGTCCCATGGATATTTTTTTTTGCTAAAATCCCATTGGCAAAAAAAGCCAATGGGATTCTGGCCTGCATCAATAGAAATCTAGAGTCTAGATCCGGGGAAGTCATGCTCCCCATGCTCTATTCTGCCTGGACCACACCTGGAATATTGTGTCCAATTCTGGGCACCACAGTCGAAGAGAGATATTGACAAGCTGGAATGTGTCCAGAGGAGGGTGACTCAAATGATCAAGGGTCTGGAGAACAAGCCCTATGAGGAGCATAGCAACAAACAACATACAAAAACGTGTCAACAGTGTGACTTCCCAAGGTCTAATGTAGTTCTTCTCTTGTTTCTGCCGACATATCATTCCATCTTTAATTCAGATGCAAGACAAATCTATCAATACTGGTATTTCCCGTGTTTTAATGAAGTCTTTAAAACCTGACCAGTCTGTTTTTTTATGTGTTCCATTTATTCTTTGAGACAAACAGTCTATTTGGATTATATCAAAGATTTTTACTATCCATTCTTCTTGGCTAGGGGTTTCTTCTTGTTTCCATCTTTTGGCAAGTACCAATCTAGCCGCAGTACTCAGCAAAAATAGGATCTTCTCTTGGTCCTCATTCAGTCTCACTTCCTTTTTTATACCCAGTAAGTACGTCTCGGGCATCTGTGGGAAGCTTGCTTTTAGTATCTTCTGGGTTGCTTGGTGTATCTCTTTCCAGTAGTTTCTTATGCGTGTCTTCCAACTTTTTGATTCTATGATTCAATCTTAATTTGCAGGGGCCTTTCTCCCCATTCAGAACCACCTGAACTTCCTGCGCCACAAGGACAAGAAGGAGGACTACCTGCTTTGAGGCAACTGGGATATCTCCTGCATCTCTTCCATCTTTTTTGCAGTGATGACAGCAACAAAAGGCAAAATAGTAGAAGTAAACTCCAAAAGATCGACCCCACCACAAGACTAGCAACAAACCACCCGTTTATTTCTTCAAGGCTCACCGAAGCCTGTTTCAGGATCTGATAAGCCCCTCATCTCCATCATAGCCTATAAAAATACCTGCTTTTAAAGAATCGTCTACCTTTTATCATGGGTGCTGGAATGAACTGGCCTTCCTTTCCCCATCCAAACTCCTTCTGCTGCACTCTTTCAGTTTGGAATCAATTTCCCTGATTGTGAGGAATGAAAGTAGACTTTTGTGCTGATTAGTGGGAAGTGCTGGTCGTTACTTATAAAGGCCTAAATTGTTCAGGTCCAGGCTGTTTGTCTAATCGTATCCCCCAGTATAGACCATCACATGCACTGTGGTCTACAGAGGAGGACCTCCTCTCAGTCCCACCCCAGTCACAAGCTTGGTTGGTTGGAACGAGAGAGGGGGCCTTCTCTGGGATCGTTCCTCATCACTGGAACTCCCTCCTTAAGGAAATAAAAACAGCCCCCACGCTCCTCTCCTTTAAGAAACTTTTAAAAACGCACCTATGCACTTTAGCAAATGGAGAGGAGGAGGCTAACCCACTTGAATTACATGGCTGTTATGATACAGCTTAAATGAAGACTGGCGTCAGTCATTTTGAGGTGTACATTGTAATGTTTATGTTGGGGTTCAGCCTGCTCTGTGTGAACCTGATTCTCTGATAGTATTTCCAACTGAGCAAGCCACTGAACATGTAGTTTTCCCTGACAATGTGGAAACTGTTGTTGATGCTGAGTTCAGCGGCGGGGAAAACGAAACTGAACAGCCGGATGAAAATGTTTTGGAATCCTGCCGTGATAGCTCTCCACCTGGTTTTTTTTAATGAGGACCGAAGGGAACAGATAACGAGAGACAGGAGTGATTCACAGTTCCTACGAAGGTCAAATAGATTACAGGAGAGACAGGCTCAGGCTTCAAAGTCAAGGGGCGTTTCAAGGAATAGTTTCTTTGGGACAAGGGGCCGCCTGCCGGGTGCCTCTTTAGATCAAGCAACGTTTGGGACTGTGGCTGTGCCTTGGCAGAATTCCTGTGTTCCATGGCCGGTAATTCCAGAGGCTTGTAGTTTTCAAGTACATGGTTAGCGAGAGGCTAACAGGTTCCTGGTTCTTGTCTTGTGTTTTTTTTTTTGGACTTTTGCTCGAGTTCAGAGATTTTCCTGACTGCTGTGTTTCTATGGTGGCTTTTTGACTTTGCAATTGCTTTTTGACTTTGCATTTAACTTTCTTTTGTACCCAATTTCTTATCAATAAAAAAGGATTGTTTTTTCCTACAGTCCAGTGTGGTGGATTTAATCTTGTTTCTTGGTCTGGGATGCAACAGTTTACTTATGTTTGAGTTTTGTATATCCTAATGAATTATTCCGGTTTTAATTGTAGTTCCATCATTGTTTGAGTTCACAGTGCTTTCTGGGTGTAGGTGAACTACAATTCCAAACCTCAAGGTCAATGCCCACCAAATCCTTCCAGTATTTTCTGTTGGTCATGGGGGTTCTGTGTGCTAAGTTTGGTTCAATTCCATCATTGGTGGGGTTCAGAATGCTCCCTGATGGTAGGTGAAATATAAATCCCTGCAACTACAACTCCCAAATGACAAAATCAACCCCATCAGTATTCCAATTTGGGCGTTTTGGGTATCTGTGCCAAATTTAGTCCAGTGAATGAAAACAGATCCTGCGTATCAAATATTTACATTGCAATTCATAAGAGTAGTTAAATTACAGTTTTGAAGTAGCAACAAAAATAATTTATGGTTGGGGGTCAACACAACACGAGGAACTATGTGAAGGGGTCACGGCATTAAAAAGGTTGAGAACTACTGACCTAGTGAGTCATGAGGGGTGTAGTTTTACAAGATCTTGAGCCTAGTCTGACAAAGAGCGCTGATGCCTCACCAACAAAAAATCCCAGGATTGCATAACACCGAGCTGTGGCAATAACCGTATATACTCGGGTATAAGCTGACCTGAATATAAGCCGAGGCACCTAATTTTACCACAAAAAACTGGGAAAATGGATTGACTCGAGTATAAGCCGAGGGTGGGAAAAGCAGTAGCTACTGGTAAATTCCAAAATAAAAATAGATACCAATAACATTGCATTAATTGAGGCATCGATAGGTTAAATGCTTTTGAATAAAACTGTAAGTTAAGATAAGACGGCCCTCTGATTAAAGCTGACTAACCTTCTTCAGTGTAGATGTGTTTACATATCCTTCCAATAATAATAGAGTAAAATAATGGAAATGTAATAATAACAATAATAATAGAGTAAAATAATAAATGTAATAATAACAATAATAAAGAATAAAATAATAAATGTAATAATAATAATAGAGTAAAATGATTAATGTAATGATGATAATAATAATAATAATAGTAATAATAATAGAGTAAAATAATAAAAAACCTTGACTTGAGTATAAGCCGAGGGAGACTTTTTCAGCTTAAAAAAAGGACTGAAAAACTAGGCTTATATTCGAGTATATACAGTAAATTAAAGATGACGTCCTCAAAGAGAACCTCCAGGTGCTGCTTCTGAAACGGCTTCCCATTTTGCTTTGGCTCTGCACTATGATTACCCTATTACGCGAATCTAATGCACGTCCTAATTTTGGGAAGATAATTTAGCCAAAAAAGGTGAGTAAACATTATTTTGAATAAATACAGAAAGTACCTGCACCACAAGCATGCTCCAGTCCTTCCGCAAAGAGGCATGAAACCTACCTAATTTCACTTGTAGTGGGGACGGTTTGTAATTCATGGCGACGGTCTCTCCCTCCCTCGGATCACAGTCTCTGTCAGAGATGGAGGCTGCTGTTGGATCCTGTGGAAGGAAAAAGAGAAACATGAGGTGGGTTTGAATCAGGGCAGGTGTCACAACCGTTATCGTCTTCTCATCTTTTAAATAATTGCTGGGGCAACGCATTGACCTCTTTATTTGGAAGGGTTGCAGAATGTCCTTGATTGATATTCTGGAGGCTAAAGACCTCAAAGTATATTGTGGATTAAAGTTATTGGAACTTGAGGCGGCTATGATGGATCACCCTGCAAATGCAAACACAATCACATGCAGTGGGGGGGGGGGGGGGGGGTTGCATTTTTCGATCAGATATTGCCCATTCCGGCTGTATCCCAATTCCATTAAGGTGGCAAACAATTTGCAGAAATATTCTGGCAGATCCTCTTCGATAGCAGAATGCAGTAACAATACTTAAGGCAAGAGTTCAAAAGAAATATGAGGTGACAGGCATGTTAGGAAGGTAACAACTGAGGGAGCAATCCAACACTAACAATAATATCCTACGAGCCTCCCCTGTGCAAAAGTCAATGATACCAAAGTGTGTAAAATCTTGTAAGTGTCCTCAGCATAACCGTGTAACATAGGATTTTTAGTTCCCAGGCTTTTATCAATGGCTCACTCAAATATCTTTTCCACATCTCCCCTTATGAGCCATTGAGGACTTTAAGATCATCTGGGGAGGCCCTGCTCTCGGTCCCACCTTTGTCACAAGTATGTCTGGCAGGGACGAGAGACAGGGCCTTCTCGGTGGTGGCCCCTCGGCTATGGAACGCCCTCCCTAGGGATATTGGATCAACTTCTTCCCTATTAACATTTCAGAAAAAGCTCAAGACATGGTTTTCCAAGCAAGCTTTTGCAAATACAGAGTAGTGGATATAGGGCAATGGAACAACCATACGATGGGACTAGACAATGTTTTAATACAGATTTCTTAATTATTTATGTTTTATTGCTGTTGTTACGATTTTATGTATGTTATAGAATCATAGGATCATAGAGTTGGAAGAGACCTCATGGGCCATCCAATCCAACCCCATTCTACCAAGAAGCAAGAATATTGCATTCAAATCACCCCTGACTGATGGCCATCCAGTCTCTGTTTAAAAGCCTCCAAAAAAGGAGCCTCCACCACACTCCAGGGCAGAGAGTTCCACTGCTGAACAGCTCTCTTGATTTGCAGGTCAGGAGGAGTTCTTGCCTAGCCGGCAGACGAGAAAGTAGCTCGGGGAAAGGTCATAGCAATGCTTTCATGTTGGTGAGAGCATAATGTTTTCATGTTAGAAAGGTATTTAGGCTTCTTGCAAACGGAGAGAAAGTGTCAGTTCAACATAGCTTATTAGCCTGAAAGCTTCATGGAATAACCTTAGCTGGAAAGCAGCATGCTTGGGATTTCTTGCATTATGATTCTTGGGACAATTGTTTCATTGCTTGTACCTTGGACTCTGTTTTGAACTTTGCCTCTTGTTTTTACTTGAAGATCTTTGGAACTATATTCTGAATTTAACCTAAATCTTTGGAACTTTGCAATGCTTATTCTTTATTTTGATTTGGACTTTTTCCTCAATAAACTATAAAACTACAGCTCTTGTGTGGTGGTGTTTAGAAGCAAAGCGAAGCTTACTCTGAGTTGCAACATCTGGCCCCACTTCCCACCAATCTTGTTTCCTGGGCCTCCTCATCTCTCATATCAATATTCCATCTGCACATTTTCCTCTAAAAAGTTGTTTCCTAAAAAGTTATGTTTTCTATTAAAAGTCTTGATACTCAGTAGAGACAAGGCTCTTCTCCCAAAGAAATTAAGCAAAATCAAAAAGCTGCAAGAAGGAATGGGATCCTCCGTCCACAAAGCAATAATCTGGGGTAATATTCCCCCAAAATGGGATTTTCCGCAGTTCTTGCCTCTGGCTGATGCAGGACGTGCTTGGAGACCGGTTCTGCCAAACAGCAGAACATCAGAGTCCTTCTTAAAAGCATTGGGACCGTTCCAAAAGCAGTTTTCTAAAGCAATCAGCCTTTGTTGTTCACTGGATGTTTTCTCTATTGGCTTGAAATGCTATTTCGCCTGCGATCAACAAACTACACCAAGGAAAGTCCAATGGATCAATCAGTTAGTGTCACTGCAATGTTTCCTGGTGCTTCTCAAAAAGCACCAGGTGCTTCCTGGAGCTTCTCTTGACAGGCGCATACTTTCCATAAAACCCAACAGAAGGATTCATTTCCCACAAACCTCAACATTTTTCTCAGCTACCTGAAATTGGATTGCAAACGACTTTAGCTAATTTTCTGCCTTTTCAAACGTATCTCCAAAGAAATGTATGTCTTACGCTCCATTTAAGAAAAAAAATCAGCAAGGAAAACTATTTAAAGTTATTTACTTTACTCCAACAATGCTTCCAAAACACATCTAAAACAAGCTTTATGCCAAGGTCCTACACAATAATACCAGTTGAATAGCCCCGTACCTATCCTAGTAAAAGACAGAAACAGATTTCTATTCAAGATAGTATATTGTCAGGGCTGTGCTAGGGACTACAGCAATCGTTCCCAACCTTAGGGCCTCCAGGAGTTTTGGACTTCAGCTTCCACAGTTCCTAACAGCTGGTAAACTGGCTGGGATTTCTGGGAGGTGAAGTCCAAAACACCTGGAGGCCCAAAGGTTGGGAGCCAACTACTGAGAAAGTACAAGTCCTTGTGCAACTATTCTAATGCTAGCACCCCAACAGGATGATAGCTTAAGAGTTTAACAACTGGGAGGAAATCAAGCTTCAGAAGATGTTGAGTATATGCCAAGGGAGCCCCGGGCCTCTCACAGAGGCAGGGAAAAGTCAACCTCTACAATGAAGGTATGGTCCCACCAATGCTTTACTAGCCCTCAGACAATTCCATTGAACAGAAGAAGCTGAAGAAGGCAACAAGGGCATCAGTTAACTTGGATCTGACCCTTACCAAACAGACAAATTGGTCAACTGAGTGGAAATAGTGTGATCCTTGGGTGGGAGGAGCCCTGTCCCGTTGGGATCTGGCCTACTGAGGGAAGAGGAAGCCACAGAGAGACACAATGGATTCAAGAGAACTGGTTGTAGTGGTGTTCAGGGAAGGCATGGCCCAAAATGCTCAAATGCTTCCCTGGAGACTAGGACACGGAACAATAGCTTCAAACTACAAGAGAGGAGATTCCATCTGAACATGAGGAAGAACTTCCTGACTGTGAGAACCGCTCAGCAGTGGAACTCTCTGCCCTGGAGTGTGGTGGAGGCTCCTTCTTTGGAAGCTTTTAAACAGAGGCTGGATGGCCATCTGTCGGGGGTGCTTTGAATGCAATATTCCTGCTTCTTGGCAGAATGGGGTTGGACTGGATAATGGCCCATGAGGTCTCTTCCAAGTCTATGATTCTATTATTCTATGAAAGGGAGTTTATGGGGCATGGAGTTCCTTCAAGATGAGATGTTGAGGTCCAACAGCAGACTAAGGGGAAAAGGTGGGAGATATCTCAAGAAATCAGGTTGGATGTGCAAAGAACTGTCAGATGAGCTGTGAATTTAAAAAGGCCATAGGAAATGAAAGAAGGGCAAACTCATCAAAGAGAAACCAACCAAACAGCTATGCTTCTAGGAGGAAAGTCACAAAAGTTAAAGCTCAGATTGACCCCAGATTTGCTATGAAGACATTTTTCTTCTCCTTTTGGCTATGTTTGAAGCAAGAGAAAGAACAAGAAAATGGAGCGAAGGGGGGGGGGTTGCTAAAATGCTAAAAGACAGAACGAGAAGAATATCTAACCACCAATACCTTCTTTGCCTCAGTTTTCTCCCAAATCAAAAACAGAACACCAACTGATGAAAACTGGGGGAAGGGTGCAGTAAGGGGGGTGCTGCCTCAAAAAAGGAGTAGATGTAGAAAAACTCTATAAATACCCTAAATAAATTCAAGTCTCCATGAACTTTAGCCAGAAGTACTAAAAGAACTTGCCGTGATTTCAAAGCCAATGTCAACAATCTTAGAAAAATCTTTCTGCCACATGTGGTGGCCATGCAAAAAAGCAAAAAAGGTTTCTGGAAAGATATGCAAGAAAGATTACAGAAAATATTAAAGGTTAATATACCACCTAAACCAGAAATATTTTTATTGGGAATCACTGAACAAAAATTTGAAAATAATACAGATAAATTCTAGGCCTGGGTAACAACGGAAAAATTTGTTTCTAAAATCGATTCGTTTTTTGGGGGTTTTTGCGTTTCGTTATTTAAAATAATTACAAAATTTTCCTTTTAAAAAGTTCGATATTTACGAAATTTTGTAAATGCGAAAAAAAATTACAAAACATTAATGAATCGATTTCCGAAACAATAACGAACCGATTCATTAATGGCGGACGCGACCGCGAAATGCGCTAAAAAACCTCCAAAAACTTCTGAAGCTTCCCTCTCCCTCTGTTGTTGACTGTTGGTGTGATATTATAATTTTTTTTTCACTAATTAAACAAAAAACTTGCCCCAGACATGCGGAAATAATAACGAAACGACCTCAGAACAATAACGAAATGAATACAATAACGAAATACGAAGCATTTACAAAACGTGTTTAAAAATTCATTTTTTAAAAAAAATTGCTCCAGAATGGTTCGTTATCGTTTTGTAATTAAAAAAATTAACGAATTATTAACGAATTACGAATTAACGAAACGAAACCGCCCAGCCCTAATAAATTCCTCTTCTTCTCTTAAGGAGCTGGGCATGTTTAGCCTGAAGAAGAGAAGGCTGAGAGGACATATGATGAGGGCCATGTATAAATATGTGAGAGGAAGCCACAGGGAGGGAGGAGCAAGCTTCCTTTCTGCTTCCCTGGAGACTAGGACGCGGAACAATGGCTTCAAACTACAGGAAAGGAGATTCCATCTGAACACGAGGAAGAACTTCCTGACTGTGAGAGCCGTTCAGCAGCGGAACTCTCTGCCCCGGAGTGTGGTGAAGGCTCCTTCTTTGGAAGCTTTTAAACAGAGGCTGGATGGCCATCTGTCAGGGGTGATT